AATCAAGACAGCCACTGAAACACTTATCTATAACTGTGATTGGTCTAAATACTGCTATCTATAGGAAACTTTGTGATTGGTTAGAGGCTCATATGCATATCTTAGCCCTCAGTATTGCAAACACTGATATTGCGATATTGTTTAACGGACCTGTTATTGCCTCTGTTAATTTTTCTAGGCTCAAGGTGTTAAGTGACAAGCCTGGATCTGGTGCTGGCCCTGCTCTTGGGGGAAAGGTCACCTTACAGATACCTACAGGACAGCCCCTTTGGCCATCCACTTCTCCAGGGGCTTTACGTAAATCATTAGAGTGAGCAACCAAAATATGTTTTTGAACACTTCGTCTTTGAGATAAGAGAGTTCCATTCTGTTCCCTACAATTAGAATAATGACTCATCTGCTGTGGCACCATAGTTTTGAACAGTGTATTATTCTGTCTGTTGCTAATGAAATTCAGGCAAACCATTGAAACATTTGTCTGACATTTTGTCCCTCACACAGCCCCCAGAAGAGAAGATCTGCGGTTGACGGAGATATCGGAGATGATGTCAAAATACAAGTGGACAAGGTTAGGAAATGTTATATTTTAGCTTTGCTCCCAGACTAACTGTTCTACAGTTACACTTAGGTGGAAAAAAAGACAGCACACATACTACTAGAAAAAAATGATACCTTCCCTTTTTATCCTTCTGTAAACCACTTTGAAGTGTCTATTTAATAAGTGAAAGCAATGATCTACACATTACAGTGATTTTACCACGATTAATAGGCTTTTGCTATAAATGACACAAAGCAGTGCAGTTTGTTATAAAACCCATATCCCATTTTTTATGCTATTTTATTTTCTACTGTCTACATTTGGGTGGTTTTACGTACTAAAAACAGTCCTAATTCATTTTACATGACCATTTTCCAAACTCTTTTTAACCCTTAGAATTAAACAAGCTGTGTGTCTTACTCTGCCTTTATGACTGTATGCAGGCAGTCAGTCCTTATAACTTCAGTGTGAATGGGCAGGGCTAAACAAATGTAATCTGAATAGGTAGATATTTGTGGCATCATAGAAACAACCTGTTCAAAACAGGCCCTGCATACAAAATATAGACAACAGTATTTGGACACCTACACATTACACCTACAGGACCGTTTGTGACATCCCATTGTAATCCATAGGCATTTATATGGAGTTGGTCCCTCCTTTGCAGTTATAACAGCTTTCCCTGTTCTAGGAAGCTTTTTTTACAAGGTTTCGGGAGAGTGTCTGTGGGAATATTGGCCCATATATCCAGAAGAGCATTTGTGAGATCAGACACTGATGTTGGATGAAAGGTCCTGGCTCACAGTGTCTGTTATAGTTCATCCCAAAGTTCATGTTCAGTGGGGTTGAGGTCAGGGCTCTGTGAAGGCCAGTCAAGTTCATCCCTCACCAAACTCAACCAGTGATGTCTTTATGGACCTCGCTTTGTGCACTGGGGCACAGTCATGCTGGAACAGAAAATGGCCCTGCAGCTGCTCGGGCAAGGCGCACAGTGTTTGTGCTGATGTTAATGCCAGAGGAGGTTTGGAACTCTGCAGTTGAGTTAGCAGAGCGTTGGTGATTTTTATGCACTATGCCCCTCAGCACTTTACTTTACGTGGTCTGACACTTCATGGCTGAGTTGCTGTGATTCCTAAACGCTTCCACTTTTCAAAAATACTACTTACAGTTGATCATGGGATATCTAGAAGGGAAGAAATTTTGTGAACTGACTTGTTGCAACAGTGGCATCCTATTACAGTACCAGGCTCGAATTCAGTGAGCTCTTTAGAACGACCCATTCTTTATAAAAGCAGACTGCATGGCTAGGTGCTTGATTTTATACCCTGTACCAATGGGACTGAATGAAATGCCTGAATTCAGTGATTAAGAGGAGTGTCCCAATACTTTTGTCCATATAAAATATAAAACATGGCATCAAATATAAAAACATGTATGTCTTTGCAGGAAGTGTGTCGTCAGATGAATGCTGTCTTCAAGGAGCTTGCCTTTCGCCAGGAGCAGTCCTTCACTGAAGCCTCCTCTGCTTCTTTATCACCCCCACAAAACCCTCAGAGGAGAGGGAACACGGTGCCGAAAGGAAAAGGCATTTTTAAACCGTCACAGCAGACGGACTGAGAAATGGAGAAGGACTATTAAGCTGGACACACACTGAGAGTGCGGGGGAGCAGCGAGTCTGTTAGCAGCAATGAACAAAAGAGAACTTAACAGAAACGGTAGTGCGATCTGTTTTTGTGAAGATTAAGTGGTTCAGTTCCTCACAGTGTTAATGCCAAAAGTAACTTAATAGGCTTCCTCAACAGTGGGGAAGTATTCACTGAGCATTTTATGATCATATAACAGAAGTAAATACTGTTCCCGTGCCCCTCCTCTATTTATGACTGCCATTAACAAACATACTGTGACCTAAAACATGATGATTCTGTTAGTTGAAGTAATAATTTATTTTCTAAAGCTATTTATTCCCCAAATCATGCACAATAGGCTATAAAATGTTGATGTTTTGCAATAAAATATTTCAACAAGTCAGCACGTCTGCATCTTTATTTGGCATTAAAGTCATCCACCAAAACCTTATTAATGTCTTCACATTTCTCCTAACAGGTTAGAAAAGAACACAGCAGACAAGCTCAGGGTGAACTCGAGGGTTAGCTTTATCCTGGTCGGTAACGTGGACTCAACAACCTGGAAGTGATCATTAAGAACAAAAAAAAGATGTGTTGAAAACAAATCTCTCAGATGTTTTTGGCTGCTTTTGCTTGGGTGGCTTCCCTTGTGATCGCAGCCCTCTTACCGCTGGGAGACAGAAAGTAAATCAGTCAAGGAAAACCAGGTATCTGGGCCACATGCTTGAATAAAGCAAGGAGACCCGTCATTCTCCGACAGACACAAATGTAGTGTTTGGCGCCTGACCTTGTATCTCCAAAATAATAACTTTACAGGAGAAGAGAAAACCTTCTTAACTTTTAATGAAAGTGAATGGAGAAATTCTTCTTTCTAAGTAATGATGCAGCGTTTTTATTGGTCCAGTCATTCTGAAATTTTGATACAATTTAAAGGAAGGCTGGCAATTTTAAAATTTCAAGCAAAGATAGACAGATGCCAAGGGCCTACAGAATAGCAACTTGCACCAGCACAGTTTCTTTACAGGTACTCCTGTTCTGCTGCCTTAAACCACACCGTGGCCTGGCACCCTCATCCAGTCAGCACATGCATCATCAAGAGTCAGGGGCATCAAATGAATTGAAGGCAAATTGCCCAGAAGAAGCTCATGCAGTGCACTAAGGAGATGGAAAGGAGTTCATCAGAACTGCAGTTTGAAAAAGAGCGGAGGTGTCTTGACACGCAAGCCATGGAACTGTTGGGAAAGAGACAACAAGTGATGCTAGAGGAGATGGAGAAATAGAGCCAGAGAGAAAGTGAGATGACTGATGCTGCACTGTAGTCTAACATTGAAGAGCTGCTGGCAACAATTACCGAGCAAAAGCGTCTGAAGGACGGCAACAAGCAGATGCAGGCAGCCTGGAACATGGACAATATGGAAGATGCAGAGGCTGGAAGGGAAAGAAGATGGAAAGAATGAAAAATGTTACAATAATGAGACAAGAAGAGACATGTCAGAGGTCACAGATTGAGCACCTGACTGCAGACCTGAAAGAGTTCCTCTTAAAGGGACGTGTACAGGAGCTTATAGAAGCTAATCAGCAGATAAAGAGAGAGCTGCAGAGCAGAAAAGCAGATGTTGAAGAAGAGAGTGAGGTTAAATGATTTCGGCCTATGAAAGGAGGGTGAGGAGAGAACAGGTGGACTGACTGGAGAAAGTGACGTAGGAGACATGATTCTGTCATTAGTTCCTAGTACAGCTGTGTTAAAGCAGAGGCTGGTAGAGGAGCTGAAACAGAAACAGATATGCCAGGCCTTGGATAAGAGCATGACGGAGAAAGACGGTGTAAAATTGAAAAGAAGCAGAAGGACGTGAAGTGTGAAAAGAACACTGTGAGTCTGGAAAATGCTGTCTGCACTGTTTAAAAAGAGAAAGTGAGCACCGGAAGAAACTGTGGAAAAAAAGAAACCACAATCTAACACTTGCAAACATCCATAAAGAGTTATTTTTTCCCCTAAAGTCTGGTAAAGTGTGTTTTGTAGTAATAATGATAATAATAATGATAAGCTTCATTTGTATAGCATATTTCCTACATATAATCCCTACCTTTAAAGCTTTAAAGAGGGCTAAAAGACAAAACAGATAATGAAGAATGTGGTAAAATAATGCAAAAATAAGAACCACAAAGCGACAAAATGACAATATTAATCATTAAATGTAAAAAGATAATAGAAATAACAGTAGTAGTAATATTTTGTTATATTTAAAATATAAAATGTAGATCTTTTTAAAAGTTTTAAGTGTTGATTTTTGACTTGACCAAATTACAGTAAATATAACTTAAATAAGCTGAATGGCTTAAGAGTGGTGCTTTGCATCAACGACACTGTGTCCTTGTTTACTTAAAGGATATTTACTGCAGAAACATATTGGAACACAAGGATGAAGGACACAGCTTATAACACAAATCATAATTCTGCAAGCTAATGGCAACATATGAGCATGCTGATTTTGTTAGGGAAAGCTAGTAACTAGCAAATGCTGTATGAGTAAGACAGGCAAATTTTCACACTGAGATCATATAAACAGTGAGGAATTTCGATTAAATACTATACAAATGTTTTGGTATATTAAAATGTATTTAGTTAATATTTTTATTGCTTATTATATTGTTAAGTATTATGGTAAAATATGAAGTATTTAATAGTAGTAAGTAATTAATTAATAAAAAATAATAATAATGATATTTTATTTATTTATTCATTTATTATTTAGCAAGTTCGTTTTTGTAGTTCTTTTGTAGCCTCAAACTCCCAGAATTCACAGCGCAATTACACGTCATCCTAACGCTGCCGGCGCTGATGTGTCTTTCCCCACTGATGTGTTTCTGCCGGCGTTGAGAAAGCGGTGCACGATTTTCTACTGTACATGCTAAAGTATCCATAAAACTACAGAACAATGATTAAACTTGGGTTCCTTTTAGTACTTTTGTTCTGCCTGTGCAAAGGTGAGTACGTTTCTACTGCTTAAATACTAACCTGGTTCACTGCTGTAGGTAGAAATCAGACACTAACCTAGCTAACTAGCTTAGCTAACTTTACAGACTTCACAGTAACATTATTTCTCAAATGACTGAAATATTAAAGGAGGTAGTGGAAATATTTACTTAGGTAACTGAAATAAACGCACACGAGTACACTATTGTAAAGGTTTTGTTGTAAGGGTTTGTGTTTTGTAGGAATAGCTAGCGAAGGCATTTGGTAGTAAAACTCTATTAGTGCACTAACTAAATGTTGGTTTGTGCAGTACAGTAGGCTGCCCGCCTTTGAAATCTTTGGTGGTCTTTACGCTAAGTTTGGAGGAAGAGGAATGTTCACTTAAAGTAAATCAGAAGGGGAGTTCAGGCTGAGGGAGAGATGCTTAGATTTTGCTGTCTGTGTGCTGAACAAATGGCTGCAATTTTAAAATCAGATGCTAAATATAAAGCTTTTGTCTATCACTTTGTAAGACCCTGTCTTTAAAATGAGTAGCTGTTGATGTTGGTGTAAAACATTACCAGTGTGTTTGTAATCTTTTATCACCTTTAGATTTTTTTGTTTGCTTGTTTGAGGGGAAAAAAACATTTTTTAAACCACTGTAGCTCTCATTGGAAATATGCATAGAAACATTTCAGCATTGAATTGTAGACAGTTTCAATAGAACTCACTTGACTGTTGATTGACTTTTCTGATACTGATGGCAAAACGTATTCCACTATGCCTGAATTCACCCTACTTTATTTTACCCGTCTGTAGGGGAGACTTGCCTGAATCCAGTCATTACACCATCCACGTACACCACCAGTGATGCTGTCATCTCCTCAGAGTCTGTCTTCATTGTAGAGCTCAGTTTAACATGTGCCAATGGAGTACAGGTAGTTCACGTTTACCCCTATTTCTGTGTTGCTTCTGGATGACTTCAGCAATTAAACAATAATTGTGAATGTATTGCTTTTTGTTAGAGTGTCGCATTGTACGCTGATGTCAATGGAAGGCAGTTTCCTGTGACAAGAGGCCAGGATGTTGGAAAGTACCAGGTTGGTGATCTGTATTTATTTCTGACACAATTTATATGTGCATTATATGTGGCTGAAATGTTCTGCCATGATGAACCTGTTTATTTTTCAGCAGTATGAGCTTTGGTGCTTCTTTTGCTTGATGTAGTTCTGTACATAGTACATGTGTTGTGTTTCTGCCAGGTGTCTTGGAGTCTCTCGCACAAGCAGGCCAGCTCAGGGACATACCAAGTCAAATTCTTTGATGAGGAGTCCTATAGCGCACTGCGCAAGGTTGGTTCATCATAACATGAATGCCTCGTTTGGTAATGTTCCTTTGCTGTGTTGTGAAATGTTTTGTGTCTGCGTGTATTCCAGGCTCAGAGGAACAATGAGGACGTAGACACAATCAAGCCCCTCTTCTCTGTCAATGTGGATCACAGAGTGAGTGAACACTTAGTTACCTGAATCATTCATTCTTACAGGGGGCTTCCACCAATTTGAAAAACAAAATCAGCGTAATTCTAACCGTTGGGAAGTAAACACAGCCATTCAGAGTGGTTTGATGTGAAATAAACTGACTCTTTACAGTGGTGGAGATTTCTTTACAGTTGTGCTGATGGGAACCAGGCGTCACAATGTGTGCAACATAAATATAGACATTTTATTTACTATCCAAAATCACCAGTGGACCTACACATAATGCTTATTATAATTGATAATGTTGAGAATAGTGGTAAAATCCCCAAAATATTTTTTTTTATGAGAAATATTTGACCTTATAACTTCTTCCATGTACCTATGAGTGCGTTTACATGCAGTTAATAATCCAGTAACTGCAGAAAATCAGATTTTGTCAGTAATCCGTTCACCATGCATACATGTACTTGGGTAAGTAAATAATGGGGAAACTGGGTCTACAAGAGTTAAGCAGTAATCAGATTTCTGCTGTGCAACCAATCAATAAACCCACAGGATATAAAGTGACGCAAACATAATGTAAAACTCATCATTCTGCAGATTTCTTTTTTTTAGTGTCAAGTCACTTTACCTGAAAATATGAATATGCATCATGTAGAAGATGAAGAATATTAAAATTCTTCATTTTGTCAAGCATGTAGTTGGTTTCAGCATTGCTCCAGAAGTGTTTTGTTGCCATCTTGTGGGTGCTGTGTTAAACACTGCTTGGTACAGTGGCCTGTTCTCACACATGTGCGGACTGAGAAAACCAAAAGAAATCTGAGTAAGAGTATACATGCGCTGACAAATCCGACTACTGAGCTAAAATCCAGCTCTTTTTATTGGATTTTTTAATTGGATTTCTGGGCCTTACTCCGATCCAAGAAATCGTAGTATGCTGTTTACATGACCACTTGAATAATCAGATAACAGCAGAAATCTGATTATGATCGAAATATTAAGTGCATGTAAAGACGCTTTATGTTTTAGGTCACAGTTTTATCTCAAAACTAATGTAAATCAATGTCTCAGGCATCAATTTTTTGTGAGGTAGCTTTTAGAGGTGCTAAACGCTACTGATGTCTGGTTCTGTGAACAGTTCTCACTTGCTAAGTTTCTCTAGAACAGATCATTTCACATCAACACACTCTGACTGTCTTTGTTTACATCTTAATGATTGAATTATGCAGAAATTTTGAACAACAGTGGAATTCCCCTTATCTCACAGTCAGTAATTGCAGTTTGACTGAGCATTGTGCTCACTCAAACTGCAGTAAGCAATAGGTGTAGTAGGCTACACACTTATGTTTGTAACTGTTGATTTCGACTCTGTGTGCTTTAGTTTTAAAACTGACAAAACAACATTTGTGCAATGTTTCTGCCTTCTCTTGTGCAGTTACTATTTTGGACGCATTTTTTGTCTTTGGACAGTGATGTTTTTTTTTTTGTGTGTGATCATGGTCAGCATGTACCTTAGTTGTCTATATGTTCCTGGATATCTGCAAAAATTAATTAATGTTTTTCTGTAATGCGTGATGCGTGTAAGGCTGATTGACTATGTGTGGGGTAACGAGAAGACTGTAAATTCGATTTTTTGCCAAGCCAAACCTTTAACCCCTTACATTCCCGAGCTTATTACACCTTATAGCTTATTTTTTCTGTAACTACATGGATGACAATGCAGACTAACTGAGTTATTCTTAAGTTATAGCAGTGTATAATAGACATTTGGACTTACGTCCTGGCCATTTGAAGCAGAGGTCACCAGTCTTATCTACAAAGAGCCGATGTGGCTGCAGGTTTTTATTCCAACGAAATAGCTCACCTCATATAACTAATCAGTTGTTTGAAGACTGAGGCCAACTGATTAAACAAATGGAATCAAGTGTGCTTCTGCTTGATTGGATTAAAATCCTGCAGCCACACCGGCTCTTTGTAGACAAGATTGGTGATTCAATGGGTTGACATTTAAAAATGTGAAGCACACAAAAGTGCTGTCCCATTATCCACATTATCCTTTCAAAATCTGTATACCAGTCTCAGCTGCTGCCTTCTGTTATTTTCAGAAATAGTATCTCATTAATAATACCTAAATTAACTATGTATTTTATTGGTCTGGCATCCTAAATTGGATAAAAACAAAAAACAGTAATAAAATGATGTAGGTCAATAGACTACACATCTCCAGTTTCTGCATTTATGTTTAAATGAAGTAAAGCAAAGATTATAGAATCAGTATACCTGCTGCTACCTCATTCATTCTAAAGGTTATAGATGTACCAGTCAAATCTGTGTTTAGCCATCGAAGCCTGATATTCATCATTTTTTTAAGACAGCAGCTACTGCTGTTTTAGCTATGCAAAATACTGGTGTTTTCTATACAGTTGTATAAATGAGATTTTTTCTTTCAAACTATTCCTTAATATTATGGCTTAATCATGGTCAGCATGTGTCTAAGATGTCTATATGTTCCTGTGTTTTAGTAGTAATGAATCCATGCCTGTGTTTTTTATAGGGAGCATGGAGTGGCCCTTGGGTGTCTACAGAGGTCCTAGCTGCCGCCATTGGCATCTTGGTGTACTACTTTGCCTTCAGTGCAAAGTCCACCATTCAGGCATGAAGAACAACCACTCATCTCACATGCATCATCAGCATTTCCAGAAACACCTCCATTCTCTTTTCCTTATGTTCTTTTACACATGACCATTGTTTGATTACTTGATTTATAATATCTGACTGTCATACTGCATACGAGACATAATAGAGGCATTATAATCACAGAAGAGTACGTGGTGGTCTGATATTTATTTTTAAAACTTTTGATCGGATGTAATTATTTTTTTCTTTTTTGGTCATTAAGTGTGCATGTTGGCCCGGACCCCTGCTGATCCTGAAATAATAGACTTTTGTACAATAACTGCTGTAGCTGTACGCTACAGTGGATTAGGCTTTTAGGCTATATCTTTCATACTGTAAGCTCAGTTGTAAATACAAGCAGAAGGAATTAAGTTTCAGTAATACCAGTAGAGACAGTGTGACAGTGTTTTACATTTTTTCATTTGTATTGTGACAAAGAATAAACCATTTTAAATGTTGATGCTTTATTTTTGTAGTTTTGCCTTAGTTAAAGAACACTTTTATGAACACAAGGGGGCAGGCAAACTCTTAAATGGGATTTTAGTGCTGCGTGCTGTGTTCCCTGGATTTGGGCATACGCTAGCAATGGAAAAACATTTTATTTCACATGTAATCCTCTTTGTTTTTATTTGTTTTGTCACTCTTTAGATGCTGGTTTGTATCTAGTTTTCTGCTTAGAGGCAATACAAAGTTCCAGCAGTTGTGTCAGTGGCATTCTTTGAAGCAGTGGTTTTCAAATCCGGTCCTAGGGAACCACAGTTTCAGCTATTCCCTGATGCAAATCATCAGCTAATTATCAGGATTTTCATGAGCTGGAACAGGTATGTGGATGGCAGAGAATACTGGAACCTGTGCAAGGCAGTTAAACAGGAGTTGAAAACCATTGCTTAAATGAATGGATCAGCCAAAAAATCTGTTTCCCCCCCATTTCCCAGTGTAGTTGATCAGCCAATATGTGTTTGGTGTTCAAGGTTTGCTTCTAAACAGAATAAACAGAACTAGTACAAGTAATAGGAAGTCTCAAAATCTGACATTACTTTTTAACTAAGTTACATTATCCCCATAGATCCTGTGCAAAACTAAAGACAAACTTCTGACACCAAACATATCTTAGCTGATCTATGACTATGTTTGGGGTAACAGGGAAATTGTGTACATTTAGATTTTTTTTTAGCTGAATCCTACCTGGAACCCCTTAAAGTCCCAGGCTTGTAACATCCTAACGCTTATTATTAAGTTACTGCATGGACTACAGTGCAATCTAACTGAGTTATTTTTAAGTGTGTAATAGACGTTTTGACCGCTGATGGCTCCTGACCAATTAAGGACATTTTTAAAAATATGAAGCATGCAGAAGTGCCTCAGAATCTGTCCCATGTTGCTTGGACACATTTTTTGAAAGTCTGTGTGTCCTGCTCAACCAGCCACCTCCTATTATTTTCTGTAATATGTCTGGCTTTTTACATTGGATGAAAATGAACTACAAAAAATAAAGTGATGGGGTCAGTAGACTACATATTTCCATTTTTTTTTCCAAATGGAGGATCAGCCGAGGCTCTAAAAATGATATATCAGCCGCTTTATCATTTGTTATTGTCATGTACTAATCTGGCGAATATGAAAGAAAGAATGCAGTACGTTGTAAAAGTTTTAGGCTCCTGAAAAATTTTGAATTAAAGAGCTATTTAACACTAATTAGGATAAATACAAATAATAGTAATACATTAAGTAGTTTATGTACTCATTTACAAACCTCATCTCATAGCAGCCCAGTATAAGTTGTAGTCATCATCTAATACTTAGTTTGGCTAATCAGTACTTTATGTTAAATCAAGTGTGCTGGTGATGGAATTTAACAAATCCCTGCGATGGAACAAAACTTTTACTTCAAGCTAGCTCTCTTTTTTTTTTTTCAAAATAAGTAATTCTTTTCATTTTTTACTGTATTTATCTTTATTTGCATCTTTTCTATTGATATATGGTGATTTTCACAAGCAAAAGCACGCTTATGGCCATGATTTAAAAAAATATGTTGAGGTGCCCAAGACTTTTGCATAGTACTGTGCATGTAGCAGTGGACTCTTGATGTTTCCGTGTGTTTAACCTTTGAAAAATGCCGTACGTAAGTGAACGTGCTAAAGTTGCATTTCTGCCAGTCCATCTGGTATGGCACTGTGGAGCATGGTGCTCAGTATCCACTACTCTGCCAGTCACATGGCCTTCAACCAGGGTCGTCTAAGGTGAACTGAAATCCAAGGTGTAAGTAATTTCATCGTTATTGGAAACTAATGCGTCTGGCTTGAGCAACGGCACAAAACAAACAAGCAGAGAATGGTAGACTATAGCTGTGAATCTCAAGATAAATATTTCTTAGGGAAAGTGTGACTGTGAACAAATCTCTCTTGGGTTGCTTTTTATTAGCCTGACTGCTTCATAGCATTTGATTCCCTGGTGTTTTCACCCTTGTATCTGATTTTAGCCCAGGGTCATTACTTTAATAGCACAAACCACTGAATAAAACCAACTATATAGATACTGACAGTGCAATTTACAGATCCCAAAGAGTTACTCACTAGTGAGTGTTCCAGTGTATAATGTGACTGTGTATATGCAACCCAAACTCAAAAGCTTTTTTTTAAGGAAATAATCACAGTTCCTGCCATTTTGGCTTTCTGATTTGTATGTGCACATGTAGAGTCAAGTCCTCAGCTTCAGTTAAAGCCAAAACTGGTCACAGAGCACTCAGTACATTATTTATTACCTTTGTTTATTTACTGTTTGTAACTGGACTCACTCAACTGCAGATGTGTAAGAGAAAAGTAAAAATGTTGAAATTTCCCAGCTTGTAAAAGCCTGTCAAAATTTGACACTTCCCAGACATTTTGTGGTCAATTCAGACTTTTCCAGAATTGTCACCTACACGGGAGACTTGGAATATGAAACATAACAGGCAATTTCTCCGAGACTGATTAAATCCAGCTTTGGGCTTAATTACACAGTGAACTGAAATTCTCCATTGGAAATGTTCAGTAGTCTAGGGCTTTACTTAATTTACCTAAAATGCTAATGTTGTTAATAAAGAATGAGAGTTGGCAGAAACCAGGCAGAATTATACACATCTTAACATTTAATTGAGTTAACCCCTCACCACCTTGAGTAACAAACCGGTCACAATGTTGCACCAAACCTTCAGCGAGCTTTCTGTGGTGGAGTGTGACATAATGGGAAGATTTAAGAGACTCCCTACTGCAACTATGCTCTTAATCTGATTTATACTGATAGTAATGATGCCATTACTCAGCCATAATCCCAGGTTGGGACTGACCCAAGCTGACTTGGGGGGTGGGGGTCTTCAACAATCCTTCATCAACCTCTGCACATATACACTGCTCACTCACTTCTCCATAATTGCTCGTCAGACAGTGGGTCGATCTGGTTCATTGTCTAACGGGGACACAACCTTGAGCTTAGCCATCACCTCAGAATCAACAACCCCAAGATGTCATCGGCGTCTTCTAATGTGGTTCCCAAACTGCAAGGGGTGCTTGCCAATGCTTGCTAAAGGGGTTGCTGGATACTGTGAAAATAAAAATTAAACTAACCCACCTTGAGGCTTTACAAACATGATAACAAACAAGTTTGTCTTGTAGCAAGAATGTCTGGGGACAGCCATGAGAAATTCTGAGCTAAATGTAAAAGGGAATGTAGGCTTATTAGGGTAGGAACAGGCTTAAATGTGAAAGTTGGGGCTCAAAGTAAGGGGCGATAGTTCACACTTCAAAACTGTCCAACAATAAGCCTGCAATAAGCCTGTCTTTGGCCCATAGATGTAACATAATTTAGTATGGCTGAGAAGACACCAAAAAAATTACAATTAAGCATGATGTGTGTTGTGTGTGCAGAGAACACATTACATGCAGTAAAAATAAACTACTCTTGCATAGGAAAAACCGTTGCGTTAGCTAATTATTGCATTCTGCTAGCTAGTTTGTTTTGCTTGCACTGTAATCTGTAAAAATTGGTAAAAAAAAAAAGAAGTGTGGCAGCAGGGTTGCCGGACAAAACACGTTAACAAAAAAAGTATGTTTTTTTTAATGATGGTAAAAATCTGTAAAATTACAGTCATCTAATGTCTTTGAAATACTGCCTTTTACTGTAAATAAACCGTTTCACAAGTTCATCTAGTTATTCTGATATACAGTATAATAATAGTAACAATAACAGTATCAATATTGACAATAACAACCTTTAAAATAAATGTACGTCTGTGAAATAAAGTTGATCTTTTGTTTTTGTGAATTTAGTTTATATCTCTGTAAATTCGCAACAGCAATGTTAAAATACAGTATATGTGTGGTTTATTTGCATGAATTTAAAGTTTTTTCTCCAAACATTAGTGACTATTAAATTTTACAGCACTTTAACAGTGAATTTACTTTTATTTTTAATTATTAGTAAAAGATAATATTTAATTACTATGTTTTTATTTTATTTTTTTTTAGCTGTGTGTGATTGTATTTTGGGCGAAAATGCATGGACCACATGAGTTTGGTGGCAGGTTTTAGAGGGGCGTATGCTTGTTAGAAGATTTTGCCGCAGTCCGACACCAAAAGTTTAAGATGCTGTCTCTAGATGTGTAATCACATCTTGCCCATTGAGAAAAAAAGAGAAGTCTAAAGTTTTGCAAGTTCTCCCTCAAGTCAATTGAAAGTTTAAGGGACAGCCTGTAGAAACTTCATGTGAGGGCAAATGCATAGAGGAGGTCTGCAGGTGCCCTTCTGTTTTTGCACCGGAACTCGGGGCTAAAGTCTACCTGGTCAGCTTTGGAGATTAGAAAAACCAGTGGACTTTGATTTTCTGCACTGCAGCGGTCTCCATTAGATTTTAGCTACGGGCCTTCTTTACTCTTGTCGCCATGAAAGGGGGTGCATCTTTTTTTTTTTTGTTACTTAATCATTCTTTAATAAAGCCTGTGTTTGGTTGGCTGGTCTAGCCATTTACATTAGCTTAATGCTGCCTTCTCAAGTGTTTCCTGTTCTCAGAACTCAGAGCTTTAAAGGGATTTTGAATGTTAGGTCTCTGGGCATTGGCTACAGTTATTGAGACATCAAAATATACAGTACAGGCAAGTGATGTCTGAGGAATGTGTCTAGTGTACCTAGAACTTATAGGAAGGACAGCCATGTAAGGGCAATTCTCACATCAGATACACACGAAAGAACAGAGCGAGAACAACCTCAAAAACTATGCATACTAATGACTGCTTATATAATACATCTAATCTTGCTTTTGGACGGAAAGCTCTTTCTAAAGACTCGGAAAAATACGATCAGGGTCTATTAGTCAAAGGATTTTTCCTGTAGAGTGATCTGATATCAACAAGACCGTTCCTTTGAATTGTGTAGATAATACAAGTGGATAGTTTCAGGGAAATATTTAATCTAATAAAGTCTAATAGTAAGCAGGATTTAAAAAAAGTAAAGCATGGTATTTTGCATATGTTTATTGCATTTAAATAAGTGACAATATTAATAAAAAAACCTCTGGAATGTCATCACATTTACATATAACACAGTTAATAACAATAAAGCAAAGTATTGGCTCTAAAATGCAGCTGGTGGGCCTAAAGTCCATTAGAAGACACTGTTTATGGTTCTACAAGTTAAAACCACAAATTAAATCTGGAGGACATAATTACATTCAAGAGATTTATTATGGTCTACTTAGTGTAGTGTGATGATATACTGAATATATATGTAGAAGTGAAGAAGAGAAATAGGAACCTATAAAACAGAGAGTTGTATATGTTGATATGAGTGACATTTAAGGCACCCGTTAGACCTGACGTTTGTTTTCTGTACATCTCTACTTCTGTACATTGAGCTTCCCTTAACGCCAGTTTATAGGCCTGCTTAGTTTCATAACACTTCAGAACTGTACAAACAGGGAATTAAACGGATTCAAAAACTTCTGAAAGAAGAAATCTAAAACCAAAGATGATTCCATCTCACTGGCTTTACACGATGAAACTTTCATGCAACTTGTTGCATGCAACTTAATTTCCGGGCAACTTAACTTAATACACAAGCTACAGTTAAACAAACAATTCAGTCACTCCACTATTTTTAATATATCGTATTGTTTCACTATATATAAAGTCATGACATGTTATTTGCATATTTAATATGATACAATATTTCTAGCTGTCTTTGTATATAAATATATATATATATATATATATATATATATATATACATACATACATATACATATATATATATATATACACAAAGACATATTGTATCATATTAAATATGCAAATATTTAATATATATATGACTTTTGCCTATGTGTGGTTCTTTACTATATATTTGGGTTTTCAATCTGTTCTGTGTATGTTAAGGCTTTGAAAAGAATAGCTCAACCAGTTTGCACTGAAGTACCTGTAGTTACTAATAATAAGCTTTAGTATGTGATAAGCCTGGGATTTTAAGAGGTTACTGTTTTAGTAGCCATTATGGTTACGCCATTTCATGCCTCGTTCGTCCTGTCCTAGGAGCACAAGGTCTCCCCTTTTGCAATAATTTTCATAATTGATATCCCAAATAAATCTGAGCTGTGTAAAATTAAGGGAAAATAAGAGAGGAGAAAATTAATCTAGCTACGTAGATCAGGATAACATCAGGCTAAAGAAGAATAAATGCTGGAACAAGCAGCTGTTTAGGTAGCTGTTCGCATTAGCTGCCTAGTTAGGCCAGCTGATTGTAGAAACGTTAGCTTTGAGAAACCCGAAAAACTACCAACTTGGGGAACCACCAACCTTACATGAATTCGATCAGGGGGTCTCATTTTCAGTTGTCTTTTGTTTTATTTTCTTCTCCATTCATCCAGTGAAATCATCTGTTTGAGATTATGTGATGCATATCGGCGTTTTGAGTGGCTGATTTCCTGAAGCTGAGACACTGTTGCGGCTAAATTTCAAGTGAGTTGCAGGACACCTTAGATTATGCAACTCAAGTCAATTTTCATTTCATGTAAGTTTCACCGTGTAAAGTCAGTTTTATTAGAGTAAATACTGAAGAACAAGCCATCTTCATTCTAGTGGTATTCTTATATCTATGCCATGAACAACTGAAATGGTAAGACACTGCTGCAACTTTTATTTTAACCATTATCACTACTTTGTGCATGTTTTCATATACTTTTACTAAAATAAGAAATGTGATGTTGCCATGAATTCCTTCTTTTCCAGTCTTTTTGTCCATGTTCGGAGTCCATTGGTTTCCATTTTTCTTATTTGTGCTCCATTCATCATCGCTTTTAGACAATTATTTATAGTCATCCTTTTGGATGGAGTCTCCACGTGTACATTCCATAACGAGTCCTCATCAGCGGTCCTTGCCGTGAAAACATGGAACCCAAAAGTGAGTGAGATTTACGGCAGAAAGGCTGATAAAATGTGACGGAATGGCTGGGTTCCATGGCTTAGACAGTAATTTCCTCCTCTTTTTCCATTGAGACTCTTTAGTAAGCGTCCTGTTCACTTTGCTCAAGAGTTCTTTGCAGATTAAATAGGTTTGATATAGGAGCATTTCTTCCAACTTTAATTTAGCTTACTCATACCGGTCATTAGTCTGTTCTTATACTCCCATATTTTTACCTAAAACAGCTCAAATAGCTTCTTATATCTACAGGCATACTGATAACAGCTAAAGTAGCTGCTTGTATCCGGAAGCCTCCTGTTTTGCATGAAATTCTCATCACTTTCAAGTTTGTGTCGTGAATTGGTCCCGCTCTGTCATAAATAAATGTGACATGCTCCGACACACGCTCCCTTGAGCCAATCACACTCTGGCAGCTTCCGCTATGCTAAACACACGCTCCATACATATCAATGAATGCGGTGCTGTATCTTCCAATGACAAATCTCGCCTGTGTCATTGGATTCCCCATATCTCATCTGCTGCTCGGAGTTAATACGTGTGCCACTGTAAATCTCCTCATCCGCTGCGATCTTAGCGTCAAGGAGTCCAACCGTGCTCCATGTGTGTTATGTGAATGTGTCCGCAACTCAGCACAAGTTGTCCTTGGTGGTGGTGGAGGTGTGGATGGCACTGGAGTCTTCAGGATTGGACCCCCGGCGTGTGGTTCGAGGGTGGCAGCGCAGCAGGGCCAGAAGCTCCCGAGACACACTGCTGGAGAAGGCTGTGTAGATCCAGGGGTTGGTACAGGAGTTCAGACTGGCCAGCAGCATCAGGATGGTGAAAGCCACTCCTGAGAGAAAGTGATGGAGAGAGAACATAATGGGGTCAATCTGTGTGAAATTTGATTAATTGACTGATTATGTTTCTGACTGTCTATCTCAGGTTTGCTTTGTGGAAAGCACCCCTGCATTTTAGATCAGGAAATGAGACTGCATCCCTGTCCCTCATGGCCACATAGTGAACAGTTAGATCCCACTGTTTTGAAGTAAACATGTCCCAAAATCTGAAAATCAGTATGTGACTTTAGGAACTTTAAGAATTGTCACTGCTGAATATTTTCTGCAATTAAGTGAACTCGTCTGTATTTCTCTGAAAAATATTATGATTTTATGAGTTTTCAAATGTTCAAAGCTTTGTTTACTAGTCATGTACTGGCTAGCATTATGCTCAAAAATGAGCTAATATTGTCATCACTGAAACAGTCACTACCAAAACGTTTGGTAAATTTTCTCTACGGCTCATTGGTTATTTAAGCCGTCAGTTAAACAAATAGAATGTTCAATCATTTCTAGGGTTATTTGAAGAAAAATATTTTTTTGTGTAAAGTCCAAGTCAGTTGAAAGTGTATGAAATGTATTTTGAACTTGGATTTAGAAGCAATTTGGTAGAATGATCCATACCAACCCACATATAATTTCTGCTTTGCATGAGTTTAAAACACCAGTAAAATAGGCTAAAATTGATAGATGCTCGCTAATAAACTACAACACCCATCTCTCACATGAACCACATGAACATGCACATCAGGTAAACAAGTTCCTCCTCAGGGGAAAAACTACCGCCTCACCTACTCAGACTGCCCTAACTACCACATTTGACTAAGCTTACTGGTTTGTGTGAGATATTTTGGTGAGGTCTCCAGTATTATGATGTCAATTCAGTGTGTAGCACTGTTAGCCTGCATGCAGCATTATGCTGCGTTCGGGTGCTCATGGGAAGGTTGCATATACTAAATGGTTAACTATGACTCCGTTCAGGTGCTCGTTCATAGCTACGCCCAGCAGTGGGGGAAACTGGTATTTCCCAGTGTCCAACACCACTGGACATGACTGGGTGCTTTACGGCATTTCTGAGGTTTCAGACACAGTCAGAGGATCCCTTGGTTTCTGGTCATGATTTTCACAATGTTACTGGATGAAACATACATGTCAGAGGCGTCAATTAACAAGTGTGGAAGGAACCTCAAAGGCATAGATAGATATATGTATATTTATATGCCCAGAGAAAAGTCAGTGGTAGTTTTACAGTTAACTGTAATGGCTTGCATTATAATGAAGTATGCTAACTTGCTGACTCTGCCTGAGGATCCTTATGAAGTTAAATCAGGACAGGGATGTGAGATTGGGCTTCACATCAGCAACATTTGGAGGAAAAATGTCCATATGGCAAAACATATAAGCTTTGGAACACTTTACCACAGGGCACAACGGGGCCAATTTTGAAAGCGCCTTTTATTTCTGTCAGAAAAATCCAGCTTGTACCTAATATGGTCATGACACCGAATGACAACACAACGTTCTATGGTAGCCTCTGATTGTTGTATTGTAAACCGAGTGTATTCTAGTCATTCAGCAGCCATAGTTGAACACTTTAGGCTAAAATCCTTGTAATGTATTATTCTCATCCACATGCAAAAACAGATATGAGCATATGCTTTGCAATGCTTCAAGGGGTATAAATCACTCACCTAATGTACATCATCTGCTCTTTATTTTGTTGCAGTACCACAAAAATAAACATACTCTCTTTTACAACAGAACTTCAAGACAGCATTAAAATAAGTGCTTAGGAAAACTTTGGTCATTAACTATTGATGCTAGATGCATGAAATTTCAGGGATTTTTATGTAACCTTGGCCCTCTGTATCTCCACACTAAAGCACATAAGATCCGTCAAATCGGGGTGCTTATTACTCATATCACAGCACTCTTTTGTCAATTAGGAAATTATAATAAAGGTTCCTGATTTATGAGTTGTTAAGCATAATCATATCACACCTATATTTCAAATGCATGTAGCTCACATCTTTAAGTCTGCTAAAAAATAATTTATACGACAAAAAATAGCAGTCCTCTGTATCTTCTCTGACTTTTCTGTTTTGGCAAGTTAAATCAAAGAAAATCTTTCATTTCATGCATTTGAACAACAGTTGAAAAGTAATTAAGGCAATGATGAAGGCCAAATTTTAATGCCTTGATATCACAGAAAGATGCACTCCTAAAATATTGTATGCTTGGTGTTAGGCACAATGATTACTTCCCAAATTTATTAAGAAAATATGAGATGGTACATGCAGAACTTTTCTGAAATCTGGTTAAGTGAGACAGATTTAACCAGCACTCGATCTTGTAGTGCCAGTAATTCACCTGTTTTTGATATAAGGTACATAGTTGAAATAAGTAGTTAAATAAGTAGATTATGTGTATATGTATACTAACTGATAAATAGTAAAATGAGCAGATTGTAAATGTACTGGCAACACTAACGTAATGTAGTCATACAGCTTCTTTGAGTTGAGTTGAGAGAGAGTGAGGTAGAGACTGGGAGGGGCGAGACACATTTATCTCAGCACTGTCAAGTCAGAAGTGTATTAGCTTATAGAGTGAGAGCAGAGAGGATGATAGCCATAAATCACAGCAGAGGTCAGACTAATCTCTCCTTTTATAACACACATCCTAAACAGATCCCACCCAGGGTCCTTCATTTGACCTTTCACAGTTCCATTACAAATTTCAGATCATAAAATATATAGCACTCTATAAATAGCAAACCGTGTGTCACTATACATGTATCACCCTATAGCTTACATTCATTCATCATCCTGTCTGCTGACCGACCAACTGATATTTCTGCACATGCTGACTGAAGTCTTACACAGAGCACACGACTCCAGCATCAACTGAATCAACTAAATGTAATTTAGTATTTTGTGTATGCAACCTTTGCATTAATAACAGCTTCCATTCTTTGCATGAGACTTGCTTTCAGTTTTTTAAAGTAAACTGCAGGAATGTTTTCACACCTGCAAAGTTCAGTCTGAGTGGTTAGTTGTATTTTCTGCTTCTCACAATCCAAGTTATCCCAAAAACATTGCCCTATGTTGTCTATGTATACATATTAAAGCTCTTTGTAACAGAAATATCAAAATTACAACAATAAAACAGCAGAATTGGCGTTCACCTAGTCAGGTTGTTTGATTTTAGAGTTTGCTTTTGGACAAATTTGGCTTCTTTATAATGAAGTGTCAGAAAGGACTATTTGGAGTGATATCAGAGAACAGGGTGTCCAGTCTGGTGGTTTTTGGTTTTCATTCCAACAAAGCAGGAGCACACATGATCGACTGTGAAGACTGAGACTAACTGAGTAGAATCAGGTGTGTTTTTGCTTGTTTGGAATGAAAACCTGCAGCTAGGCCGGCCCTTTGTGGATAAGACTGAACACCCCTGCTATAGAAGCACCACTTTTGGTTCCCTAAAGATCCTTTCAGTGCATGGTTCTTTTAAAAAATCCTTTAAAACTACTCAACTCAAAGGTTCTTTAGGGAAACAAATGTGGTTCTATTCTATGACATTGCTCTGAAGAACCCTTTTTTCCACCTTATAGTCAGCGTGAGTCAGAAATCATAATGCATTTTGCTTCCAGTCATGTATTTTTGAAATATAGTATCAGGGAGGGCCTTTGAGCTAGCTGGGCGTTTGGCTTGATGGCAGGTGGAGCTTATGGGAGGGGGAGGTGAAACTTGATATTATTGGTTAATATTTTTTTCCCCCACCTGCTGGCGCATGGTGAAGTAATCAAAACTCAGAAGATGGCAAAAGTACTACACTTTCATCTAAGATTACAAGAAAACAAGAACTTGGTCATTAAGAAGGTATGATGTATCATGTTTAATATGATGTCGTCTTGCAGGGCTAGACGTGATCTTGCAATGAGAACGTGAGAGACAATTATGAAAAATTTTGAGCTTAATGTGGGTGGGAATGTAGATACTTATTAGGGTGGGATCCAACTGAGTGTGAAATTTCTAAACCAAGCCAAGGCTTTGTGAAGTCGGAGCTCCAAACAGGGGAAGATGGTGCATTCGCCAACATTGTCTGATGGACAACAAGCCTGCTGTTAGCTCATGGATGTAGCATGAGTTAACAAGGCTGAAAAGTCCCCCCAAAAAACTCAAATTAAGCATGTAGACATGTATTGTGTGAGCACATTACACGCAGTAAAATAAATACTACCATTTGCAAGGGAAATACAGTTCCATTAACTAATAATAGTGCTTCACTAGCTTGTTTCTTTAGTCTGGGTTAACAATTGTACTCCAGATGTTAAATGAGCACAGGCTAGAGGAATTTAGCAGTGGGATTTAGAGGGGCTGCAATCCGACACCAAAAGTTTAACTACTCACGAGCAGTGTGTTCTGCAGTGAGACCAAATATGATCAAGTTTTGATTTCGGGTTGACCTTAATTATTAAGAATGTAAATCTTCTTCCAATCAACTTAAACTGTAGATAATACTAAAGGAGAAAAGATGTGGAGAGGTATGGATCATTCTACCGTATCGGCTCAGTCAGACTTGAAAACACATTTGAGACTTTCAGCTGACTTGGACTTTAGACTAAAATCCTTTTGCTTTGAATGACTTTTGAGTGCTTTTAGTATATTTTATTGAATTAAATGATTGAACATTCCATTTTGTTACTACCAGTACAATAATAACACTGAAATGTTTTGGTAGTGACAATTTTTGCTAATTTTAAGCGATAAAATTTGAGCATAATGTTAGTTTGTACATGACTAGCAAACACAGCTTTGAACATTTGAACACATAAAAAAATAATATATTATTGTTAAAGCCCAGAATGTTACTTAATTGCAGGAAATGTGATTCAGTAGTGACAATTCTTAATGTTAACCACTGATTTGCAGACTTTGGGACACATTTACTTCAAAACAACAAGATCTAACTACTCACCATGTGACCATGGAGACAGGGATGCAGTCTCACTTCTTGCTCTAAAATGCAAGGTTGTGGCTAAAATAAGGCTCCGCCCATGGACTAAAGCTCTTTTTGTTAGAGTAGGAACCTGAAAATATGGTACATATTTTTTCAATTTAAAATCTATTTTAAATTCATGATGAATTGAATCACTTTAAAAGAAATGATAGTGAAAAATATCCTTCCAAAAACATTATTGAATGAAAAATGCATAAAAATCAGAGTATTATTTTCACAAGTTGAAATGTTGGTGTTAGGGTCTGGGAAAGCCATCTGATTTCCTATATATTTTCCTTATTACTGTCTCAGTTAATGCCTTGGGTTTAAACAGATTATGGCATAATCCTTGTAAATATCTTAGGTCTGAATACTTTACTGTTTTATAAATATTTTTTTACTGTGGGAACTGCAGTTTGAACTAATTTGTTAGAATGGTCCATAAACGGCAGACAGCCGATACTAATTGAATGGAGAATGTAGCCAGTGTGTGTGTATGTGAGAGAGAGAGATAGAGTGTGAGATTTTTTGGCAGTGATGTTTGCTTTTGAAACTCCAGCATCTGGCTAAGGGTGAGACAGCAGCATGGGACTGAAGCATGTTATTTAAAACAGGTTCTTTATTGGCACTGGGATATGTGCGCAAATATGCTGCCTGAGTAGGGAGGAGAGGACAGGAGGAGGACAGCCACAGGACAAACTCTACTGTCAGGACAGACTTGAATTATTATGTAGAGAGAGAGAAAGAAAGAAAGATAGCGAGATATAGCAGAACAATGATTGCCCTATTTATCCGATACTCTTGGAATAGACCTTAAAATGTGCTTACTGAATTATGAATTACAATCATGCATTTTGAGCATTAGGCCATGTTCAAATTACAGGACTGAAGCAACGCAAATCTGATTTTTTGCCTAAATGTGACATAGAGCTGATTTTCTCAGATATTTTAAAATCAGGTCAGACAAATGTGTATCCATGCAACTGTAATTTGAATGGAATTCGTGTGATTCATATTGCCATGGGATGTGTATATATATATATATATATATATATATATATATATATATATATATATATAATGAACATGGCAATGTACTAGCAATGGGTGTGGCTGAAACACTTGAACTCAATAATTAGAAAGGGTGTCTACATATTTTGGTCATACAGTGTATATATCTAGCTCATTTGCAGCATAAGCCTTCTGTTTTTTCATAAATACTTTTCAGACTCAAAATTTATTAGGAAATGAATATAATAGTAGGTGACAAAGTATCATGATCAGTCATATCAAATACTACTTCGATAATTGATACTGAATGTTATTAAATATATTAAATCTTGCTTATTGAGCAATGTAATCTTACATAAGCAATGTAATGTGCACAGACTTAGATCCATTATCTCACCTTGGTTTGGTGGGTTGGGGTCCCAAGCAGCCCAAAGCTGTACTATGAAAAAAGGCGACCAACACATAGTGTAGACCAGCACTATGACCAGAGTCATCCTCACTGTTTTGGACATTGCTCTGGACACACCAGGCGGTGGTGGAGGCAGAGGGCGTGTAGAGGAAGAGGAGGGGTAATGGATTGGGTCTGAGACCTCTGTAGGGGGCTCCAATGGGTTAGTGTATGGCTCTGAGTAATCCAGAGATGTCTGGTAGCAGGCAGTGCCAGGCTCACTGAGAGGCTTCTGGCCCAGACAGCAGTCCTGAAGAGCTGCTGAGTTAGTGTGATTAGTGTGAGTGTGTGCGTGGGTGTGAGGCAGCACATAGGGAGACAGAGCACTGTAGGAGGGACTGCCTGTGATCAGCTCACATGTACACTGGTCGTCCTGAGAGGGGAGGCCGCAGCAGTCTGGCTGTGGTGCACACTGAGAGCTGTTAGCGTTACAGTGAGAATGTGAAGATTCGCTGTTATTGTTCCTCAGGAGGAATTCTCCTCTGGCCTCTCTTGGTTTGCATGCCCTTCTCGTTCTCCCCCTCTCTCTGTCCTCCTGCTTTTTAGGGCTGGGAAAGCAGAAGAAGACAAGGTTTTTCTTCAAGTCTGCCGACACCACTCGCTCAGACTTCAAGTAGATGTTGTCATGGATCTCCCTGAATATTCGCACCTGTGAGCAACACAGTTAAGGTTAAGTTAGCTATAGAAACTACCCAGAGGAGACTGAACACAATAAATCAGATCTGATTCATATTTGAATGGATAGTACCTTAAATATAAATCTGTCCTGCTTTTAAGCTTTGGCACTAAAGCTGCTTTTTAACACCAGTAACTGGATAGAAACTCCAATAGGCAGCTTTAGACAGCAGCCATGTTAGAAATGACTGACCATGAAGTTACTTTAGAGACTACCCCGAGAAGACTGATCAAAATGAATCAGTTTGGATTCACATTTGAACGGAAGAGGCAGCTGGCCAAGACTGTGGAATTCTCTTTGCATGTGAGTCTTTCCCTGTTTTTAATTCTGTGAGAGTTGCTGTTTAGCACTAGCAACTGGATAGAAACTCTAGTGAGCAGCTTTGAACAACATCCATGTTACAGATGACTGACCCACAAAAAGGGGTCACAAACCAGCTCAACATATCTGACAATTACAGAAGCTTAATATTAAACACAGGCATGTAGCTCCAGGTAGGCATGGATAGGCTTGGAACTATTCAGATTTATCTCAGGCCTGAGCAATCAAATGGGGAAAGAATATTTATTAAGTTGCACTTTTAGGATAATGAAATATGTTTCCTGTGAGTGGTGTCATTGTATTATGATCAATCAAAATCACCATTACACTTTGCATGTCATTCCTAAATGTAAAAGGTATAAACAAATTAACTGATCCCAAACTCTGCCTTATTTTCTCACCCCTACAATCACTGCTTAGCAACCTAAGCAGTGCTATCAAGCTTTCAGTTCTTGAGCAGTGAGCCAGTGTGTTGTGTATATATTTTGAATTTAAAATGGTTATCAAACTAGGTGCCTGGGACTTGTAAATGTGTGACTGCCACACAGAAGAGTTTGCTGTTATCTACCAATTTCCAAAGAAAACTAAATAAATAAATAAATACCTACATACATACATAAATACATAAACCTTAGCTTGTGTTAAAAACGTTGCTGCATTGTCGTTGTCTTTGGTTTGCGAATTTGGTACAGAGCTAAAATAGGCTATGTGGAAATGACACAGTAAATGTCTATTATTGTGTATAAAGTCAAAGGTAAGACACAAATGGTCCATAAACATTTTTTCATGCCTACTGTGGCAGTATGCTTTAGCCCAAGGTGCTTTATGGTGTAGATTTTAAATTTGCAGTATTGTTTTTTTCTATTTGAACTGTCCGATTTGAACATCTCAGCTGTCTGATTTCAACTCAGTTATGTTGTCTTCACTGGCAAACGTTGTGTCTGTGGTGAGCAGATGCTTCATAGTGAAGGGTGTTGCAGTGTTGGTTGGGTTTATGTGAATACTGCATTCTCATTGATATGTATATGCTTGCTACTGTTTTGTATCACTATGAGCTGGGTGATGCAAAATCTAGGTGGCCTTCTCACTTTTTCAAAAGCCTACCCAAAAATGTATTTCTGCCTTCGCCACTGATTAAAGAGATCCATGAGGCCAAAAGTTTGTCGTCAAGTGGTTGATGACACCAGTGGTTCTCAAACTAGTCAGCCAGTCCTTATATGAACCAGGTAGTCAGTGTTCTTAATTGCTTAGTTAAGAAGTGTTGGGTGCTATGACAGAGGAAAAAATGTGGACTGCCTTCGGGCCCTGACAACTTGTTTGAGAAAAACTGCCTTACACAGAAAAGCACACAATTCAATGAGAAACTACTTTGGGTGGGGTCTGTTTATGTGGTCCATTGTTTGCATACGATTCCTTTCCTGAACAAAAGTAACAACGGTCTATACTAAGCTGTATTGCTCAATAATACTTCCATGCTAGAACATGCTAATTGAAACATGACTGCTCTGACCAACAGGACATACTTAGCTACATGATGCTAGCAGAGGCATGCAGTGAATCCAAAAGCACCAGTTATTGGCACTATTTTGGTAGTGTTAGAAGATGTCAAAGACAAATGAGTAAATAAATATGTGCAGAAAAGACCAATGGTATATAAAGTATCTATGCTAAATGGTAATTACAAAAATTCACAGTCTCCTATTAAATCAGAGCCAGTATAAATAGACACTTTAACATCTTATTGGACTGGATTATGATGACTGGATGTGAAGTACTAAAAATTCTAAAATCCATGACAGAAATCTTTTTTAAGAAGATATGGTAAAGATTCTTGCAGACAATGCAACGGCTAAACTTGACTAAACTAGACATAGGAACAGTGTTACAGGCTAGATTTAGTCATTCATTTTGCTTCATCTGGAGCCATTCCCTGGGTAAAAGAGAAACAAATATGTTTTTATTAGGCAGTATATCAGGTATTACTGCTTTGAAGCTAACCAGATTCCCTTAACTGCTGTAACCTATTTAAAACTGAGCTGCCAGCTTCTAGTGGCCTTGTGAGTATTGTTTCAGTACAAAATTTTAAAGGCCAAGGAAAGAAATACTGTCCCCCGGAGTTAAATGCCTTTGTCACAAAAATCATTACAACTGACAGGTGAACTTAATGGACTGGAACCATGTTCTGTAAGTTCCAGACTCAGTGAATGGCAAAAAAAACCCAAATAAAAAAGCTTCAGTGCAAGGTAATGAATTATACATCAGAGTCCCAGCAGGTTCGGGAAGACTTCCATTACCTGGCAAACAGTAATGATGAAGGCAGGCAGGACAAAGACAGCCAGGGTCATCCAGGTAACATAGGCCTTGAGACCCCAGGGCTCAGCAAAGTGCCCCCAGCATTCAAACTCCCCTGGAGCCACTTCAGACCTGGAGAAAATGAACACCTGAGGGAGCAGGAGGAGTAAAACAACAATAATTGCATTATTGCCTAAGGCTCTAGGTTGGCCACTGGAAAAAAAAAAAAACCTTGATAAGATAGATAGATGGAGATGGTTTGAAGATGGAGATAGACGGATAGAGATGGTTCACTTCCCCTAAGTGTTTGTGCTCTGTGTCCTAGGTATTACAACTTTATGCATTTGGCAGGCACTAGACAGTGATCAAGTATAAGCTATGTCAAATTCTCTGGATGATAAATGTTATTGTTCTTTGTTAAAGGAATATCATGGCTGGCTCGTGATTCATGAAAGCCTGGCTCGCCTCTGTAACACTCAGTTCTGATATTTGTACCTTAAAACTAATGATAGGACATTGCCCCAGTAATTCAAAGCATTTTGGGATGTTACATGTCATCAGACAAACATACTAAAAATAAAACTGTAACACTTACAAAATATGTCAAATATAAGTCAAATGTAGCTCTTATAGCTTATTTAAACTCTGCAAGTATTACAGTTTCATTGTAAAGTTTTAGATGAAAACTGAAGGGTTAAATTCTTAAAAAGCCCAGTGAAAAAGTCCCAGAAACATCGCTGACTGTTAATACAAGTGGCAGTCTCATTAATGGTCTGTTAGAAATCGAAAACAGCAGCATTAGCTCTATGCCAGAGCTCACTACCACAAGAGTCACTGTGAACCTTCACAAGTTAAAAATGTCTTTTTAAAGCTTAAAATATCTGTGTTTAATCACAAAGCACTGACAAACGGCTAGTATCCTATAGGAGCACTAGGAGAAATTATCATTTTCGTGTAGGTGGGTTTTTTGGTGGGTGGGAGTTTATGTCCCAAATTCAAGGCCTATCTCTAATAGTCATGGTTTGCCACTGCATATCACCAGCCAAAACGTCCTTAGAGACCATTTGAACAGAGCAGACCAAGCTGGTGCTTGGTATCGTTCACATGATAAATTTACTACCAATAACCACCTTAATGTGAACAACTGGTTTACAATCTGATGATGTGACAATTTTCTATCTTCAGGAGTTCATGAGGGCAGACCGAATGCACCATTACCATAAAGAACAAGCATCCTGGTACCTGTGGTAGGCTGAGCACGAGCGCCAGGCCCCAGGCCACCATGATTGGTGTGTTCCAGCGTGAGACCACTCCTCCTCTGTAGGCCTGCATGGGGCAGCAGATGGCGTAATGCCGGTCCACCGTCATAGCCACTATCATATAGGAGGATGCAAACATGCCTACAATCTGCATGTACTTTACTGAGCGGCAGAGCGCGTCAGGGCCCTGGAACCTCTCTGTGATGTCCCACACCAGCTGTGGGAGAACCTGGAGAACGTTACGTCATCACATACCTGCGCGTCATTGTGTGTTTTATAGTAGAATAAGTCTTCAACAATGAGGGTTCACTTAAGAAATCAAGCTACAGTGCCCTCCACAAATATTAGCACCTCGGTAAACATAAGCAAAACAGGCTGTAAAAAACATATTTTATCATTTGGATCAGTCGGACCCTAGTTGAGTCAGACCTTGGTTTTTGTATCGTAAGAAATTTCCTATAATAAAAAAGTTACAAGACTTTAATCAATTTGATTTTATATTGGAACTTTATTGACATTGTGCCCTCCTATAGAAATCTGATTGCCTGGCTTAAAGCAATGATTTGGCCAACAATCAAATGTACGCAATTACCTCCCTTCATCAAATGTGATCAATGAAGTTTGTTTTACTTCAGTCTTTAGGGCTATGAGGCTAAAGCAGAAAAGAAGTAATGGAGGCCTATAGCCATTGGTTATTAGCTACATTAGTTGTTAGCTACATTAGTATTATAGCTCAAGAGTAAAACTAAAGAAGCAAACTTTGAACACCAAACATGTCTTGGCTGACAGACTATATTTATAAGGGGTAAACTGTGTAAATTAGATTTTTGGATAAACCATTGCTTTGAAATACCAGGGAATACAGTGTAAAGTATTAAACATGTTTGTATGAAACTAAAATTGAGTATGACATTAAACATCCAAAGTTTGAACGGAAAAACAAGATAGAAATATAATAAAACATGGCTTAAAATTGCTTATCAGATCTATCTGACAACTGTCTGGCTGCACTCCTGATATATTATATTTGTTAGTCATTAGAAAGTTACTCACAACACAAACTTTGTACATGTATATTATGTGCCCAAAAGAGCAAGAATGACCCACTTAGAAAAAAATACATAGATTTAGGTTCTCTGGGGCTTTTAAAATTTGGTTTGGGCGATAGGTGTACATCTTAACAAGCTTTTCAGATGTGCTCACCTGGAAGAAGGCCACCACCAGGTCAGCCACACAGAGGTTGACCATGAACAGGTGCATGGGAGCATTGTGCTTGCGCCTCCTGAGCAGAACCCACAGCACAAAACTGTTGCCCAACGTGGTGAGCGCCAGGACTAGGCCCAGGACACCTATCTCAGCACGGGCCAGAGCCATGTCCCGTACCCTGGCCGGAGGGGGGACCTGGGTGGTGCTAGAGGAGCCGTTGTGTAGCACCCAGAAATAAGAGCCCCCTCCATGTGAGCTGTTGAGGCCACCACGCTCAGAGAGGAGAGCTGATGTGAAGTTGGTCCACTCAAGCGTCGTGTAGGCAGATCCATCCCAACTTGGCTCTCCTGAGATGGTCTCCATTAGGCCTGCGCAATAAAATAATATCGATGATGATTATTAATATCAATTTTTGTTCCATATTGCTTTTGTGTTTGAGGTGTGTTGGGTAAAATGATGTTTTTCAGTCTGGTATTTGCTGAAAGGCTTGATCTTTGAAAAACTGCTACTTTGGTAAACAAGGTGGCAATGTGCACCTTTTGCTTGATAGAACATGAAGTCTAGCCTTTCACTTGTAGCAACACAAACCAGCGCGACAGTAGAGACAGTGCTGAAATTAAAGAGAGGGAAATGTTTGATGAAAGCATCTCTGAACAAAGTGAGTATATAGAAGAAAATGGGCTGCAGTGTGGAATATTTTTGGGATATAACAGTTTTCCTACATTAGAGCAACCAGAAAAGCCTTGTATTTTATTTAGGGTTCAAAATACTACATAAAATTGAGCATTGATATATATATACACACACACACACACACACACACACACACACACACACATATATATATATATATATATATATATATATACTTTTTTTTTGGTATATTAGTAAGTTGTTTTTTTTTTTTCATTTTACTCAGCTCTGGTCTCTATGTCTGTGAGAGTAGTGATTTTCACATGGGAGACTTTGCAATAACATAGCAAATGTCTGCTGCCCCAGTGCAGCGGAGCCCTGAAAGTTTGGGTTTAGATTCCACAAACACACACAAGAATTGCAAGCCTTGTTGTTTTTAAGGCTCAATAAAACAAATAAACGGTTGACTTATGGAAACATGACCAGTGGACTGATAATCCCTTTTTTATGAGATGATCCTAAATGTGTTCATCAATTTCACGCGCGTGCACTGCCGCAAACAAATTTATTTCTGTCTCTCTCTCTCTCTCTTTCTCTCTCTCCCTCTTTCTACTTTATCACTATTTCTCTAATTTTAGTTTGATTCTGGTCTATTTAAGTTCATGATGTATTTTCTTGTAAAAGTCCCCAGTTACCTTGGTGCAAATGTGCTGTAGTTCTATAAAATATGCAATACATTTTCAAACACCATTACCATGAGAAAGACTTTTTTTTGCTTAACTATTGACACTCCTTATCCCACATGGCACATCTACATTTTTTGTAGTCCTCAAGCCACTCCAGGCTTGATTTCCTCATTACATATTCATTACCTGTGAAGTGGCTATATTTTTGTAAATGAGCTAGCCACATCAGTCGACTTGTGTAGAGTGTTGTTTTTAATATTTGATTTGTTTTTAATATTTAATATTTGATTTGATTATCAAGTTTGTTGCCTGGTCTGGGCTTCCAGGGCTGTAGCCCCAAATCTTCATCCATTCCTCAAAAAAGATAGAAAGAGAAATGCAAGCGAGAGAATAAGAGACAAGCGTACTAGGGATTAAAAGCATGAGTGCCTGAAATTTCTGTAAATAAATGCAAAAAAAAATAATAATAATTTTAACTCATAAAAGTAAAATGGTTTTAAAATGTCAAGTTCATTAAACATCAAATAGTAACTTACATTCTTTTAACTACTAATTTGAAGTGCAATAATATTCAAATGTTTAGGCAGCCAGGTTGCTTACTTTTTTGTTTACTTACCAGGTTACTTCAGTTTTTTACAGTGTACATAAAAAATCACTCATTTGAGACCTATGTGGTACTTGAAAAATTGTACCTGAATATACAAAATATACAAAATATTATAGAGTCCTGCAGATCCCTAAAATGACACAAAACACAAAATTGGCAAGATAGAACTTGTTTTAATGTGAACTTTTATAATTCAAATTTTGTTTTTGTTTGTTGTTAGGTGAGAAGAGGTTCACTGAATATGTTTTCAAATATATAAAAACTACAGATAAAATGTGTCTGTGTTAGCAGGACATTTGAAAGGAGATGTGTAGAAGAGACTGAGAGAGAGAAACTGCAGAGAACTTTTTTCAGTCTTCTTCTCTTTTGAGTCGTGCCAATCAATGTACTGAATCAATGTACATTTTGTTGATGTGTAAAAGCTTACATTAAATAAAAAAGTACAAAAAAAATTACATGCCCACCCATATGGAAAACAATATATGGACATGCATTTTTAGATATTTGGAATACATGTCAAAAACATTCCAAACACTAAAATGTACTTCAGAACATATTGCCATACTGACCAAATATCATTTGAAATACATTTATTTTGAAATGTATGAGGAAATATTACACATATTGCTTATGTGAAATACATTTTTTGTGAGTGGTCTTACCACTTACGTAAATACTTGCAAAACACAGAAGTCAATACCATTTATTTAGTTACTGTATATTTAGTTATATCAGTAATCTTTGTTAAAACTACATACAACTGAAAAATATAATAAAAAATACAAATAAATGCATTTTTAAAACATTTATAACAAATACATTTTTGGTCATTTTTATGCATTGCAAAAATATACTTGATAAAAACATTTGGAATATATATTTTTTTCATATGGACAGTCAATGCCCCTGCTGACTATCCACTAACAAACTTAGCAAGCTAACCACTGCTATCTACCGCTACCACAATAGCACTACCGTGCTCCCCCTCTTGTTCCCTCTCTCATTTGTAGTTAAGCTCCTTTGTGCCCTGTGGCATTAACAACAAAAAAACAAAAGCAAAAAAAACACTAAAACTAACAAACTAGAACACTGTTAACAAGAGGAGGAGACAGGCCACTGGCTGAAATATGAATGGGAAAGCTTGTAACAGTCAACATGTCTGTTTACAGAGAAAGTCCCGCCCTTCAGTAAAAAGAGCCAATCAGTTAAGCTGCAAGCAAGAAAAGCCTCCCCTCATTGTCGAGATCTGCGTAAGTGCAGTAGCCACAACAACCTGAAATACACATTTTTTGTGCGTTACTGAGCCAAATGCTACAAACTATTTATGAGGTTTTTTGTCAGATTTCACCAGTAAATTTAAATATACTTTTGAAATGGTAATTTGACCTTCAGTTTCGAGTATTTAGGTCTCTCCTCATTCAGAGATAGGATTCTGGTCTTGTATGGCAGGAAATAAGTGCCAAGATGGCCGCCAAGTGAACAAACTTCCCTATAAGGACTTTGTTGCTAACTAAAGACATAATGATATAATTATATAAAAAATGGTGACCAAACTGTACAATTTACTCTCTGTTATGTCTGACGTTCTCCTCCTTACGTTGACGCAAGTCCTGCTGTATTTGTTTTCATTTCCAGACTGTCCAGTTACTTGTTCATCTTCACTAATCCCTCTGTCATCCCCTCCTTACACCACACAATCCTCACTTCTCCCCAGATCTGTCCTGTCTCCTACTCCTCCTTCAGCCCTTTGCTCTCTCACTTCCTCCTGATCGAATGCTCCTTGATCTCAATAAAATGGGGTTTATTTTGCAGGCAAGCAAATAGTATTAAAGTAAACATCATTTGAACTAATGAAACCAACGTTTAGAGAGAGAATCATGGGATGGGGTCAGAGCTGGAGACATGAATAAGACGAGGAGAGAGAGGGGTGGAAGAAGAATACAAGAGGGATAAACACATGGATATGGACAATACACAGAGACAGTCCATTCTCAGTGAACTGCAAGCTGAGAAGTGAGCAAAGCAAAAGGCGTCAGAATTAAAGGTGAATTGGGGTGAAGTGCGTCATTTGGCATGAAACAATGAATTAACAAATTAACACATTTAACCACGCGCGTCATTTACACTAGGGACACCAGATTTTGAAAGAAACACATTATTACATGGCCATTTTTTTTAGTCTGTGGAAAACATATAATGTTTTATGTAGTAAGTTACATAGGGGGTACACAGAGGACCCTGCTGAAAATAATCATAGAAACCATTAAAAGTTTATGCTGGTTCCTGTTGGTGTTCAATAGCATCTAATGGTATTCTGTGTTTTCCTGATGGGTTGTTATCACAGTGTAAAAGACTCTAATGGAGAAGCATAGACCACTTGAAGTTCATGCCCATAATGCAGCTTTATTTTGACTCAGCAGCCAAAGTACAAGAGAAGAAAATCGCTCTTATTTCCAAGAAGGAAATAAGCTCTTTAAACCTGTAGCACGGTCATGCTTAGCCACAGAATCCCACCTAGGGTTATAAATCAGGAAACAAACTTGGGTGACAGTAACTCACACTCACACAAACCAGTACCTACCCAACCTGCTCAACAGTTTGCATAACCTGTAACATGCATACTGAACATGCAATGAAAAACCTTTACTTACTTTTTTGTTTAACTAAATACAGTCTGGCTAAGCACGCACAAAGCACCACATCATGCTCTGACACAACAATACCATCAACTGGTCTGTTTATGTAAACTAAGCTGCAAAAACAACTTGAATTCATAATTTTTGTAATGTCACGAAAACTAATAATATTATTCAGTAGTTAAGCCCACCCCCTTACTTAGAAATGATAACAAGTGTTTCAGTCTGAACTGTTTTTTTTTTTTTTTTTAATCACAGATAGCAAGAGGATAGCAGCCACTGTTGGCCCACTGATGGAAAGCCTGGTTGCCTAGTCGCTTTTCGCTCAGCGTTTTCTGGGGGCCTGCTAGAAGTAGACAAAATGGCACTTTTCATCACTCATTTTCCTCTCCAGTCAAATGTACTTATTTTTCCTTCATTTGTTTCTTTTGTTGTTCTCTGTAAATTAGTTTAGTAAATAACTTTAATTTAGTGTTAGCATATTTTTAATTTGTTTATTGTTATATTATGTATTTTTCTCTCAGTTGTTTGTAAGATTTGTCTTAGTTTATTTTCCCAAATAAACGCCTCTGTGCCTTTAAAATCTGTTTGAAGAGAATAAAAACGAGTTGGACCTTGTATTCAGCGCAGTAATCTGGTCCGAGGGTGGACTAGCAGTAGCAAACAGTCAGCGGGGTTCTGACCTTGTTGAGCCAGCGAACCTTTATGTGCTTGCTGTCAGGAATGAGGCACGGCAGCCAATCAGAACAGAGGCTTCGCGCAATCTTTGAAGTTCAAAATCTAACGGAAAACTCAACGAATTTGCG